TTTTTTTTTTTTTTTTTGGTACCAGGGATGAAACTCAGGATCTTGTGCTTGTGAGGTAGGCAGCTGAGCCACTGAGCTAAATCCCCAGTCCAGTCTGTTTTAACATGGCAATCAATTTTGTAAAAAGAAGAAAATAGTATGTAAAGCAAGGGGGATGCATGCATTAGTTCTTCTTTCGGGCCATTCATTCCCTGAAATAGTTTCAAACTAGTTTAAAAGACCTACAGATGAGAATGCTGTGTAGGAACTCAGAGTCTTGATCATATACAGCTTGGGCTTGATCATTTAGTGACTTTTGTAATGATGTGTTGTGTAAAGTGTATCTTTAAGGAGATAGATATCAGTGAAGTTGCATCTTGGTATTGATTACTGGCTTGTGATGGCCTCTCACTGACTTCCTTAATTCTTGTCTTCTGTAAACGTGGGACTATTGGAATCCAATTGAGTGACACAAAAATAAGTGAGGTAATGAACAGCAGGTCTTAAACAGTGCTTCGTATGTAGTCAGCACTGCATTACTTTCTTTTTGTTTTTTCAATCCTGCCTCTCCTTCTCCCTGCTAGGGAAGTTATGAAATCAAACAACTGTTTTTATCTTTCATCATTTAGCAGTTGGCAGAATTGGCATCAGAGGGAATTCTTACAGTCATATACTCCAGTGTACCAGCTGTTCTTTCCTCACATCCCATCCATCGCTCAGACATTCAGATCCGCTTGGCCCTTCTATCCCCTTCAGATACGTTGCTCTCTCTGGAGCTCCACAATATCTGCTCGCCAAATGTAGTGCTTTAAACTGTTGCTCGTCATGAAGATGGAGAAGGTCAAGGAGACATGATAAACGTCTGTAGGCGGATTGATGTGGCAGACACCAATGGGTGCAGGAGACAAAGGCCAGATTGGAGAGACTGAGAGTCTTAATCCTGGAAAGCTTATGAAACATTATTGACTTCACAGAGATGGGGACTTGACTAATTGTGGCTATGGGAGAAAAAGGAAGGTCATTTTTATGTATGTGGGCATACTGTAGAGTGCTTTCTACACTGATATTTTCCCAGTAGAACATCTCTTGAATTTTAATGTTCAGACTTCATAAAATTACATCTATTACTTTATTGGGGTTTTTCTTGGCTGAAATTTTATATTGGAATAATATATCACACAAACTCATTAGAGAATACTTTTTATATGATGTATTATACAGGAAAAATATGTTGCATTTCACACAGTTGCTAGATAGTGATGTTTTAAAAGTTTTTGAGGGACTGTACAGACGTTGTTCTTCATGGATGATGCCGTGGTAGTTTTCACATTGTTTTCCAGCCATGATCCAGGACTCAGTGAAAATAGATCAGTTTGGAAATTGAAAAATTGGAATTTTCTGTTAGACTTTCGCTGAACATATAAGAGCACACATTTATCAGTTCAAAACAATTTGCAACTGGCCTGTTTCTCCCTGACTTACCTTGGATGGTACAAAAGCAATTGAACTGAATGTGATTCAGTTCTTTGCTCTTCACAGCATAAATTATTGTTTGTTCTGGGAAATTGCTTGAGCAGCTGTTTGTGAAAGGACTTTCATTTTGGCATCTTTATTGCCTTTCCAAAGAAAGTTCATTTAGATATATGCATGCGCTAGCTACTTTTTAAATGTTTCCAGTGACTTAGAATGCATGTATAAACAATACTGTTTTTTTAAATGCCTTAGTAATTTAGCCTGCACATATAGTATAACAAAGTATGGATGCAAAAATCCATTTTCTTGTAATACAGAAAGCATTTTAATATTCTAAAATTATATTGTATAATCTTGCCAGAATATGCAGCTAAGATTTCAATTTATATTAATGTAATAACCTATTTCAGATAAATTAAAATTTTCAGTGTAATATTCTTCATGATACATATTCACATTAAAGAGTTGATGATTAGTACAAACCTCAGTAGTGCTATTAGTTTAGGGTGCTTTCTGCAAGCTATGAAAAAAGCCAGTTTATGTTTGCTAAAGCTCTCCAAGTTTTTAAGGCAGTTACATGTTCTTATTTGATATTGTATCTTATTTTATAGATGATTTGAGCTAACATTTAAATAACATCTATATAGTTAAGCATATAGGCAGATGTGTCTACACATATGTGTGCATGTACATGTGCTCAGCTGATGAATTACGGAACTCACTGTCTTACCCAACCGACCCTGATTCCCAGTTTCATGATCCAAGTTGGTATTGTGAACCTACTGGGTGTTAAGAAATAGGAGGGGGTAAACAAATTGACTAAGGAACAGAGCACACAATCCAGAACTCTAAGAAACCTTTCTGGAGGCTGCAACAAGAAACTTGGGGTTATAGATTAGCCAGCACCTAGTCACATGTTCATACTAACGATTTCTGGTAAATGAACTCCAGTCTGGCAACCATGTACTCAGCAAGAATTGTAAAACAGAAGCAGAGGACAAATAGGGGAGGATAGAGAGCTGTTCCTGGGACAATACGGAAATAATACATTGTAGAATAAAAGTCATGTAGAAAAATGCATGAGCTATGGCCCTGGATGGGTTCTACAGGTAGAAAGAAAATCCAGCTTCTTTTTGACTAGAGGGAAAAGAAAATTGTGATGGTACAATATTCATAACCACAACCAATAACCAGTACAGTAGAAATGCAGGTTACCCTAGTTTAGGATGCTGTGGTATTTTCCACTATGCTTTTAACGTTTCTAAAAATAGACATAACGCCATAGGCAAATTAGGCCTGCATTTGTTATTATAATCATGTATGTCAAAGGAAAATAGGTGTACAATGAATAGTGCAAGGAATGGTAGATTATTATTTCTGAGTGTTTTGTTTGCATTCCTTTTACTCTAGAAATAAATTAGTAACGAAATTGATAAAGATCCGGATATAATTTACATTAAGTGGGTTTGAAAGTATTCTATACAAGGCGTGTCCACAACTGTGACACTGTTGATAATTGACAACAGTGAAATCCCAACTATAAAATCCCAATGCTTTTTTAATTCACAATTTTTCCTTCTTTTTTCAAGCTGGGAATCATAAGAAATCCCATGTTAAATTAAACCTTAAAACGTTAACATTCCATGTTAAAGTAAACACAGAGATTTTAAAATATACTTAAATCTAATTGGTATTTTTGTTACGTGTTCCTCACAAGACACTATCAGAAATTTTTTTTTATTTAGCTTTTGAATATGCATCATTTTTTAACTCTAACTTCAAATAAGACTTTACAATATGTGAAGCTGTCATTGTATCTTGACCTAGAATCATATCAATCATTAAGTAATATGTATTGGATTATTGAAGGAAGACATTAATTTTGAATTTCCCAAAGACTTACTGAAGATAAAAGCATTCTTCATTGTAATCTCTTAGATGCATGTTTCAAAGACGATTATCACAGTGGAATGAGTCTGTTGATGAAAGTGGACTTGCTTGGTTCAATGTGCTTTCCAAACCCCTTTGACATCGCTTTATTTCACAGATATGTTCCAGATTCAAATAGCTGTATCTGCTGTGGAGTGTGTGCTGATCTACACCGGCACAGGCATAAAACATGA